GAGCAGATGCAATCTCAGTAGCAAAATGTTTATGCAACCATTTCATTCCTACATACGGCATTCCTTCTCTGATAAGATCAGACAATGGAACACATTTTGTTAATGATGTAATTAGCAAAGTCTCTGAAGCTCTGGGTTTCAGCATCAAACATCATTGCGCATATCATCCACAAAGTGCAGGATTAGTGGAAAGAACTAACGGCACAATAAAACAGAGATTAAGAAAATGCATGGAAGAAACAGGAAGGCAATGGCCTGAGTGAAGATGTGGATGAGGCTAACCCGGGGGTCATAATAATAAGTCTATAAGAGAAACCACCCTAGCAGAGTGGATGACTAAATTATTTGAGAATAAGGAGATTGTGCTAAACAATAAACTGCCGAGTGATATCTCTCCAGTTTCTTGCAGGTTGCAACCAGGTGATTGGATCCTGATCAAAGTACTCCAGAGAAAGAATTGGAGTTCGCCGAGGTGGGAAGGCCCATACCAAGTCTTACTCAGCACACCAACTACCTGCAAAATAGCAGAAAGACCATCTTGGATCCACCAAAGCCACTGCAAAAAAGTGAGTGACAACACAAGCATAGACGCCGGTTCCCCCGACTCCTAGGAGGAAAGGGCTGTTTGGGTATATCCCGCCCTTTTATCTTCTCGCCGGTGGTCTACTCACCTGGAGCCCGGGTGTGCCTGGTCATCATGAAGAAACTTGTCCTCATAGTGGCTGGCATGGCGCTCCTAGTGAGCCTACTGATACGCACCTGGAAAGACGAGGACCCACAGCACCACCTGCAGAAGAAATGGTCATATGACAACTCACACCTAAAGGATATGGACAAAGAGCACAGCCACCCCTGGCTGAACAATGCCTGGTACCGGTACGTCTACGACCGAGTACATACAGAAGACAACCACACTGGCTGCTACGTCTGTTCTCACCTCCCAACAACAGCAATGCAAGCCACCCTATATGGAAAATCACCCAGCCTTTCCGAAGCCCTATGTATATTCTACAAAGCCACCAGCGGAACATGTTCCCCCGAAGACATCTTCTTCTTCAAGGTTGAGTTAAAGACACAAGACACAAAACCCGACCTGCCACGGTGTAATGGAACACAGATCAACTATACAAATAATGAGATAGTGTTCTGTACACCAGAGATCTCAGACTGGAACTACAGCTGTAATGACCGATACTGGGTACACCTGAACGCAACCAATGACAAGGGAAAATCATTCAACGTCAGGAGGGAACCAGGAATACAACATCCAATGTGTTTCACCTTCGCATACGGCAACAGAAAGCTGGGAATGAACCAAAACTGCTCCCAGACTTTCCGAATGCCGCAGGACAGAAAGGCACGGATAAGCTTCCTGAATGGCACATATTGGGTGCAGGGTACAGCATGGGCATGTGGCTCAAAGACATACTTCACCATCCCACCCAACAGCACCGGACTCTGCGCCCCAATTTTAGTGTCAGACCACACATTCAGAGTATTCCATCAGAACCAACCAAGACGCAAGAGGAGCACTGATGACGTGCAACCTCATGACCCAATCTGGGGCAGTGATGTACCAGCGGAGTTCAAATTGTGGACCACCGGACAGAAGGTCCTGCACTCACTGTTCCCATGGGTTGGAAATGGAAAAAACATGCTAAGAGACTCTTGACTACCGATTTGGACTTTTCCTGAACAGCTCAACAAAGATAAACAAGGCTCAGAATGAGGAAATCGACGTGATCAGAATAGTGGTTATGCAACACAGAGTCGCCCTGGACATGATTCTGGCTGAGAGAGGGGGCCTCTGTGTCTTATTCAACACGACTTGTTGCACCTATATCCCGGACAACGTGCACTCCCTGACCATGACCACCGCCCTAGACAAGTTACGACAACTGAGTAATGCACAGCAACAAGACTATGTCACGAACACAGAGGACTGGCTGACCTGGCTGCTGAGTGGCAGCTGGAAGACCCTCGTGATCAAAGGACTTGTCTTGATAGGAGTTCTTCTTTTATTGCTTTGCATGTTCTCAACTTGCATTCTACCCTGTATCAGATCAATGATTGACAAAATGGTACAGGCCACAGTAATCACCTATGTTGGACGGCCACAAGAAGATAAACCGGACGAAGAGGATTTAGTATAGGAACACACACACTCACACATACTGAATGATGCTACAATTGAAAATGCTATGAGCAAGTGATTGTTGGCTGATAATAAAGTATGATTAAGTGGTGAAATATAGTAACAACAGGAGGGAATGGTATGGAATTTTTACTGATTTATATGATTATGTTTCAAATGTTATGTTATACTTATGTTCACATATTTCACCAGACACAGCTTTCTGAAGAACCAGGAAACTGACCCGGTGACATTTACCGCAAGAGATCAGCACAGAAATACACATCCTCAGAAGTTGACTCGCATTATCTTATTCTTAGAAATTGACTTGTAGCACACACACTTCGTGACACACACACACACACACACACACACAGCTTACACACAGACAGCATCAGGACCTGCGTAACAGGAAATGTGATTATATTTGCATATTGACGATGTAACCTATAAAAATAAATGAATACTGCAGCTCGGTGTGATTTACTCTCTGAGTTTCACCCGTGCCGCACGTTATCAGTATCAAGTGCCTCAGTGTTGTTTATTCACCTGACTGTTTGTTAACTGTAAATCTCTGACAATTAAAATCCAGCATTTTGTAATATACTTCAACCCTGGTGGCCACGGTAATTTGGAGAAAAAAGGTCAAAGACATAAGGCAAAGGACAGATTAGACCTCATGAATGAAAAGCTCTTGAAAAGCATTCAAACAGATGAAGCTAAAGATTCGACCAAATGCACTAAAGCTGACTGGAAGGCATACCAAAGCACCGTAAATACTGACCTAACGATTTTGGAAAATCAGGAAGGTGAATATTCTGCAATTATCCAAAAACTCAACTATAGGAGGTATACAAAAAGAAGTTCAAACCAGCCAGGCTTTCTTCGTGTTAGTTGGCATGAAAATAAAACCCAGTCAAAGATAATTCTCATTCACAGGTATCACTATGATGGTTATTAACTTTCTACATTAAGTCAGGCTTTCTCTTTCAGGCTCTGTGAAAGCTCAATTAAAAAGGTCGTCTGACACTTTTTCCAGACAAAAAGAACCCTATGAGATGAGGATGATAAAACATTCATGAAAACCTATAGCTATATAGGTATAACCTATAAAGGTATGCTTGGTGGTTAATTGTCTGATCAATGTTCTAATCTGTTCTAGTAGTTATAATTCTACAAGCATAAAATAAACCGTAAAACAGATCAAACCAAATATAAAAACAATTATAAAGAACTTAATGTACCTAATGTTTTTACATTACATATATTCTTTGGTTTTGTTAAGGTACGACTTAACAAGCTACAAATTTATAATATATAAAGAAAATGAACCATAAAATGTGGATATGTTTTTAGTCTGAAAACTACAGAAGAGGATTAGGGCCACTGGGAAAAAAATTCTGACTTTAATCTCAGAATTCTGAGAACAAATGCTAACCAAGAGAAGACAACCTCAAAATCTAATTTTCAACTGACATTTGGGAACTGTTTTAACATTTCTCTATGGCAGGGGTCCCCAATCCCAGTCCACGAGGGCCGGTGTCCCTGCAGGTTTTAGATGTGTCCTTGATCCATCACAGCTGATGGATAAATTACCTTCTCAACATGTCTTGAAGTTCTCCAGAGGCCTGGTAATGAACTAATCATGTGATTCAGGTGTGTTGACCCAGGGTGAGTTCTAAAACCTGCAGGGACACTGGCCCTTGTGGACTGGGATTGGTGACCCCTGCTCTATGGGGAGGGAGATGGCGAAAGCTGTGCTTCAGAGAGAGAACCATAAATTCTCTCATGACTCAATCCTGGGTTTCGGTACCGCTGTAAATGATGCACGACAGAGCCGACCACATGTTCAAACTTTTTGTTATTTGCTAATGCCTTTAGAGTGTGAGTATTTGAGTTGAATTTAGCAAATAGCATGAGCCTGGCTGTTTCCCCGGGGTCAGTATCCCCACCGTTACTGACGGGTGCAACCTTTTCGGTTGCGAGTGACAGGTGTTAATAAAGCGTTGCCTCTGACCACAATAACGGCACTCATTTATGGAGAATCTTCTTCTCCAAGTAACGATGGTAGATCTTTTGAGGCAACCTCACCTTTCAATCCGTCGCTAAGAGTATGTAAAAATGTTTCGCAGAATGCCTTCGCAGAGTGCCTAATCCAGAAATCCTCAGAGAAGTCTGAAACACTTTGTCTCCCCTGCTTCAAAGACATCAAAGAGTGGGCACTGGGATTTGAACCCTTATCGAAAACAGCCCAAAACTTAGTTTGGAAATTAAAAAAGGTAATTTCAGAATTTTCTTTCAACACAGCGTGGGCCTGCTTCAGAGCCTGACCGCAGAGTAGCTGGACAAAATAAGCTGTTTTTGATTCGTATGTTCTGGGTTGTTGCCAAAACACGAGTGAACACTGAGTGAGAGAGCTGGTGGTCTTTTCTAACTTACCCGAAAACAGTTCAGGCGTTGGCAGGAATCTCTCTGGTGTCTCCTGGAAGTGAAATGGCTAGCGCTTCTGGGGCATCTGTCAATTTACTTTTGAACCCCTGAAATGAGAGGATTGTGTTAAAAAATGCTTCAGTTCAAAAAAAATAAATCACTCGCTCTTCCACTTTACTCAGAAATAAACTGTTTTATGTATTCTTGTTAAAAACACCTCCATCTTTTTCTCTGTCTCTAATTAAGGTACCTGGATGCCTACCTCAAGACTTTCCTCACCTCAGCAGAACAACATTTTATGTTGGCATTACCACTGATTACCACTTATGTGTTCACAGATTCACCAGAAAAAGTACCAAACATCACACTTGCTTCTGAGCGAAACATAAAGGTTATTTAAGTGGAAAAGCATGCCAGGCGGCAAGACATCTCTATGATGCGAATCAGAACAATATCAGAAACAATAGGATCAGAGATTCGTCACAAATTTCGTTATGTCTTCTGTTTTGATGTGGATCAGGAGTTTAAGGGCAGATTTGGGTCTGAGGCACTGGGTGATTCTGTGGCATTGCTCCACACCCAAATCTAAAGCCTTCATGGAAACTAGAGATTTCTACTACCATGTGTGGATCAGGGAAATTATTTTACTGCTATTGTTAATAATCAGCATCATTACCATTGCATTAATAATATAATATATAGCATTGATATTGCATTCAGATGTTTAAACAGTGTGTGTGTCTTTCAGAAAGACTAAGTTGCAGGCTGACAGGAAGTTGCAGGCTTGCAGAGCATGCTTCTGCAGAAGTGAAACCGAAAGCAGAGTCTAAGTGCAGGTTATTCTGAGGAGCTGGTTAGACGAGGCTATTTGAATAACTAGGTTATTCAAATAGCAATAAAAAATAATACAATTTGAATAACTAGGTTATTCAAATTGAATAACTAGGTTATTCAAATTAGGTTATTCAAATTAGGTCAACTAGGTTATTCAATTTGAATAACTAGGTTATTCAAATTGTCTTTTATGCTTTTATGTTCTTTTATTAAGCTTTTAGTAGAGGTTCTTGATTATAACATTTATTCAACATAGTACATATAGTTTCAGTTAGGTTATTACACATAAGGATGAGCCTTTGTTCTGGTGAAAGGTCAGAAGTGCAACGGGTGAAATGAAAGAGCATATAAGGTCGACACATACACACACACACACACACATACACAGTAGATAGATGCATTTATAGGTGAGAGGTTAGTCATGTTTGTCTCTGCAAAAGAGGAACAGTTTCTTGTTGTCTCTGCAAAAAGAGACAACAAGAAACTGCAAAAAGAGGAACAGTTTCTTGCAGAAGTGTCTGCGGTTTTGGAGAAGCGCTAGTCAAAAAGGTTGACAATGTTCTTTTTAAACTGTGTTAAAAGTCATTGTGGTTTTGATTTGACGTATGCATGTATTCTGTTTGGTGACGCATGAAGGGCCGTCATTAAATTCAAACCCTGATGGTATAAAATATCTACTTATGCTTTGGTTAATCGGAGATCATTGCTGTCTGTGAACAGGCACTGGTCTTCCCACGCGTGTATTTCATTAAAATCAATTGTTTGACCAAGCTCTTCTGGACCATGGTTGTTTGTACTCTCCTTCCTCAGTATTTGAACCCTAACATTTGGGGGCTTCGTCCGGTGGTTGAGGAGGGAGAGAGTTGGAGGTGTAGACGGAGAAATCCGGGGTCCAAGGTGGTCAGACGGGCAAACACGAGTGCCAGTGGTCGAAATGAGTGGGCATAAGCCGGCTTATCTTAAGGTAAGGCACTACCTGTTGAATTATTTCCAAAGTGTGCCAAATTGGACATTACAAATTAAAGTCTACTCACTGAAATTACTGGTGAATGTCTGCTTTGATTTTGATGAGAATCTCATGACAGTACTGAGGATTTAATGCAGTTGGACTGCTAAAAATGATTGAATGCGGTTGGACCGCTAAAGGATTTAATACGGTTGGACCGTGTAAAGCAGTTGGACTGCTGAGTGATTTTAGTATATTAGGGAATTTGGTTATTGTTTGGGGTTGGAGCCCCTATTGGTTATAAGGTTGGACCTGCTACAGTCTAACACTTTTTTGGGTGTTTTACTGTTGTTCCAAAGTATTATAAATTATTGAAGAACGCCAGTTGGACTGGTGGGAAGCGCATAGCCTGGAGTTTACGCTCCCTCCTTGTCGTGGACGTGCGACATTGACCTCTCGGTGAAGAGGGTTAGTTCAATGTGGCTTAACTGTGGGGTACAGGGCATCCTGGAATAAGCTAGTGGTTGGACTACTTTACCGTTTGGAACGGTAATCTGCGCTTTTTTGGGCAGCAAAGGTTGGACCTTGGGTGTTGGACACTCTTAAATTGAGTTAGGGATTTTAGAGATGAGGCCAGAAACTGTTGGACAGATACTGGTTAATTGATCACAAAAAAGTTGGACTTTATCAGTTGGACCGTTAACTTAAATTTGTCGAAATTGGTTAGGCACTAAAGCTGTTGGGCCTGACAGTGGTTGTAAATATAAGACGTCTTTGTAATATAAAATAAGAGAGTTTGGTGTGAGAGGAGGCTGTGTGTCGAGTCAGCAATGCACTGACTGCCTGCTGATATTTTTAGACAGTGTGTGTGAAGATGCAAATTAGTAAGTAGTGAAATGCTTAAAACCACCGTTGGTTTTACAAATACTGCTGCAAACATTGTTGAATGTGTGTTTAAGACGCTGTTTATGTTTATTAGAGGGCTCTAAATAAAGTTTTGAGTTGCCGTAGTGGATGTATAGTAATTGACTGAGTTTGGATGTAGATATATAAATATATTCAGTGCATTGTAGATACTTAAGACTAACATATCACTTTCAGTAGTAACCTCTCTCCAGCAATAATTGCTGGTGTGTTTTATTTTTTCAATTTCTTGTGTGTGCTGTGAGAATTAATAGAGGTTTCAATTGTTTTTGGGGTTTTTTGTTTTTTGACTTGCTCTTTCTGATTATGAAAAGCATGTCTAAAATGTTCTTAGGAAAACGTATTTTGAGTTATATTCCTCAACTCCTGCCACAGTTTAAGTGTGTGAATGCTGTGAGTAGTAGGTTTTGAGTGATTGGGTGTGATTTGTACAAAATAATAAATACGTAATATTAACAAAAGTTGATAGTAGAGTGAGTGCAGAAGTAGAAGTGTGAGAGAAAAGACGGTGATGTGAATGCTGACAAATGCAAAGAGTTTAGTCTATTTAAAAGGCAGTGTGTGTGAGAGGAGTATGAAATGATTGTGTGAATGATGCTACATTTTAGATCAAAAGTTAGTAGAATTACAGAGGGTTTGTAGATTGTAAATACAAAACAAAAAGAATTTGATTAGACTGTAGAAACAGGAAATATGGCTCTGAGTGCTGTATGAGTAACAGGAAGCGTTTGTGTGACAGGAACTGTGCATGCCCATAAAAGGAGACTCACTGTCACAAGTGAGCACCCAGAGGGAAATAGACTCTAGCCAGACGAAGCAAATGGAGGTTTTAAGAAAAGAAATGAAAAGGATATTAATTTTATGCTTTAGTGTGTTAATACAGGTTACAAATAAATAAAGGTGGACTTTTCTCAACCTGGAATTTTAAGAGGCAAAACCATAGATTAACAGAATTGGGAAAAACAGGCCAGATTTTGGCTTAAAATTTTACAGCTTGACCTCCCACTTGGCCCCCATCCTGAGAAGAAGCTCAAAGGACAGTTAATCTCCTGATGAAGACCGACAGAACATCGTGGACTTGAAGAATTAACAGCAGGCAGAAGGCAGTGCAACTGAAACCACACTGACGACACCAGCAGCAGCATGTAAGAAAAGCACACGATGCAACATGTACTGTAAATTACAGGCTGGACAGTTGAACAGTGGGATAATGAGCTGTGGGAAAGCACTGGACACTGATTTTCAGATCTGCCATGCTTGGAGTAATCTTGAAAGAGACGACTGAAAGGATGAGCAGAGAAGAAGAAACCAAGTGATGAAGCATGCACGGTGGACTGCAGGCTGGTAAGAACAGTGTGACATAACTGTTTAAAGGCACTGAATGTGATATTTTACCAGGCTGGGACCTAATCTAAAAGGAAAATACTGAAAAGAAACAGAGACGAAACAGACTGTCTTTGCTGGAGATTTCAAGACAACAAAGGACACTGTGAGAAGAGCACAGGGGCCAGTGGGAAGGTGAAGTCCAGAGGAGTTCGAGTGACTGGAGGGTATAATTGGGTTGAAATTGAAGCCTGAACTCATGGATGGTTTAGAGATGTCCACCAGAGAAAACTAAAGAGGTAAACAAAAATAGAAAACACACATACACAAATTGTTACATGTGAAATTATTTTTGGAAAGAATCAGAAGGGAGATGGTTCGAATTAAGAAATTAGTGAAAATATGCATGGATTAAACCTGATTATAACATACAGAGGCAATGAAGAAAGCAGCTTACACTCACTGAATATTAACATACATAGAAACCGCAATGAAGACATGCTTACACTTATACACATGACATAAGTTGGTATTTCTGACCAGAGAGAGAGAAACGGGTAGTTTAAGTACTCATGATAATAATGAAAATGTCTTAGTTGTGTTATATTCAAGGGCGAAGTAGACCTGGACCAATTCTCCACATGCAGCGGTCGGAAGAAACTTATAGGTTAACATGACTGGACATGTTAAGGCAAGTTTCTGGTTGAATTGTTTACAGCGCCATGTGTCGCTGAACCTAACAAGCAAACTCCGACCTATGTCTGAGGACCAGGAATGCTGTTATTTAAGGTGGGAACTTAAAATTTGGTTTATCAAATTTTGGGAAAGAGAAAACTGACGGCTTAAGTGGAGAATTGTGAAGGAGTCTGAAACACTGCAAAAGCAACATATGCAAAATCACATACACAAGCAGAAAACGCATTAACCTTACAAGGACAAGCTCATGAAGATTAATGCATAGACATTGATAAACCTGGCTAAGAACACAAACATACGCAATGAAAATCAGCTCGCTATTTGTATGAGTGATAGAATGGTGTGAATGTTTAATAAAATACACTCAGGGCTTGAAGTTGAGGAATAACTCAAAAGAAGCTATATGACAGAGGGAGTGAGTTATGGAAAAAAAGAAAAGTGATTAAAGTAGTTTTAAAAGAGTGATTTAGGAGTGCTCTCGTACTGAGTGATCAAAACCAGTGATCACTGTAGAAAGAAATAAAATAATTTAATAAGGTGGTAATGTTTAAACATGTATTTCTCTTGTTACGGCAACTTGTTGAGATATGACTCAGTATGCAAATTAGCTGGAGTGAGTGGTGACGCAGAAGCTTCCTGTGTGTGTGTGACTGAGGCTTTCAGGAGAGGAAGCATAGCAGACTGTTCAGAAGTGCAGATTTGGATAATAAATTTATAGTTTAGTGATGATATGTTCTCATAATGGGGTTATATCTTATGCTGAATCTAAGTATGTTAAAGTGCATAAAGGGGGCGATGGTTGTGTGCAAATTGTGTGGTTGTAACAAGACTTTCGGTGTATTGAATGGTAAATGGTAAATGGCCTGTATTTGTATAGCGCTTTTCTAGTCCCTAAGGACCCCAAAGCG